GTGGCTCCTAGCTAGAGAGGTGGCTCCTAGCTAGAGGTGACTCCCAGCAAGAGAGGTGGCTCCCAGCAAGAGATAGGTGGCTCCCAGCAAGAGAGGTGGCTCCCAGCAAGAGAGGTGGCTCCCAGCAAGAGAGGTGGCTCCCAGCAAGAGAGGTGGCTCCCAGCAAGAGAGGTAGCTCCTAGCTAGAGAGGTAGCTCCTAGCTAGAGAGGTAGCTCCTAGCTAGAGAAGTAGCTCCTAGCTAGAGTTGGTGTAGCTTTAAAACCTACTGTTGAACACGACTTGTGAGCCTTGCCGTTCACACTCGAGCTTCTCTCTCTCTCTCTCTCTCTCTCTCTCTCTCTCTCTCTCTCTCTCTCTCTCTCTCTCTCTCTCTCTCTCTCTCTCTCTCTCTCTCTCTCTCTCTCTCTCTCTCTCTCTCTCTCTCTCTCTCTCTCTCTCTCTCTCTCTCTCTCTCTCTCTCTCGTTTTTCAACCATCTTTCCTTGATACACACTTCTCCCATTACCACTTTTACCTTCCTGCCCCCCCCCCCCTCTCTCTCTCTCTCTTTCAATACTTCTCCATCCACATCTTCCCTGTTCCCCCCTCCCATCCCACGCCCCTCCTCCCTACCCCTCCCACGCTGGGGCGCCTAGCCACGCCCCTCTCCCACAGCAAATCCCAGCAAGACAATGAATAGCCCAGCACCAGGGCGGAAACTAAGCCTAGCGTCACCTTGCCAGATTACACTGGAGGGAGAAGGGGGTAGGGGGGGGGAGCGAACTGGGATTAGTTTAGTCCCCCCTTCTGTAATCCTGTACTAATCCCCAGCAAGAATTCAGGCGCAGTCAAAGATTACATGTTGATGTTATTAAATGCGTTATGTACTTCTAGGCCACGTGTGTGTGTCGTATACGTGTTTTAAACTCGCTAGGACGAGGGGCAGAGAAATCGTATCTCTTTGGTTGCGTTTTTAAGCTATTATGACACGTACAATAGTCACGTAAAACAACCTAGGGCCAGATTCACGGAGCAGTTACGCAAGCACTTACGAACTTGTCCATCTTTTCTCAATCTTTGGCGGCTTTGTTTACAATTATTAAACAGGTAATGAGCTCCGAAGCACCAGGAGGCTGTTTATAACAATAACAACAGTTGATTAGCAAGTTTTCATGCTTGTAAACTGTTTAATAAATGTAACCAAAGCCGTCAAAGATTGAGGAAAGATGTACACGTTCGTAAGTACTTGCATACGTGCTTCGTGAATCTGGCCCCTAGGATCTACCAGCAACCAGGTACAGCCACCGAGGACTTTCTGTAGAAACAATGTGCAATCACACCCTTGACAGAGCATATCTAGCTAGGATATGCTAGGCACTAAGTACAGTTATACAGGATATGCTAGGCACTAAGTACAGTTATATAGGATATGCTAGGCACTAAGTACAGTTATAAAGGATATGCTAGGCACTCTCTAATAAAGCTGTCTCACAGTAATCCATGATCAATGTCCTGAGTGTTTACACCAGTTCAATATGTCTCTCTGAGCACCTATAAGAGCATCCTCCTGAGATGTCCAAGAGATGACCACACAGCATCCACGATACCCCCTCTAACCCCTCTACAACAAAACAATGGTCATTAGAATCGTTGACCAAACCACAGCCCAGAAGATGGAGAAGCGAAGACGTTTTGATCCGTCGCTTTCACACGACTGGATAAATGGTCCAAGACGGAGCGAAACGTCGTCGTCTCTTCACCTTCTGGTGTGTTGTTTGGTCATGTCTTCAGCCACGTTATTGTGACTCATCCTGGTGCTGAAGGTATTGTGAGGTATTTCCCACGTACTGAACATTACATCTCAGCTACTGAAAAAACTAAACCACAACAGGTCTGACCACAAAAGGTAAAAGAACTCTGTTTTAAATCAATGCCCAATAATGCGATGATTTGTTAATACAAATTGAAATATAATCTGTTTCTGTGTTGGATTTGCTATTGGGCTTAAGACCTATCAACCACTGGAGGGTCATTAAGTCCAATACAACAGCTTACTGACTAACCAGCAAATATAGATTAGTCCTGGACAGAAGAATTACAGTGTATATACACCCAGGAGGGAGTTATACGAGTCTGTGAGTGTAGAGATGTTCACGCTAGGCCTGCTAGGACCTGCCCTCACGCTGGGTGTTCCTAGGACCCCCTGCCCTCACGCTGGGTGGGCCCAGGACCTCCTGCCCTCACGCTGGGCCTACCCAGGACCTGCCCACACGCTGGGCCTGCCCAGGACCTGCCCTCACGCTGTGCCTGCCCAGGACCTGCCCTCACGCTGTGCCTGCCCAGGACCTGCCCACACGCTGGGCCTGCCCAGGACCTGCCCTCACGCTGTGCCTGCCCAGAACCTGCCCACACGCTGGGCCTGCCCAGGACCTGCCCACACGCTGGGCCTGCCCAGGACCTGCCCTCACGCTGGGTGGGCCTAGGACCTGCCCTCACGCTGGGCCTGCCCAGGACCTGCCCTCACGCTGGGTGGGCCTAGGACCTGCCCACATGGTGGGGGTGGATATCTTCAAGAGAAAACTAGATCATTTTCTCCAAGGAGTGCCTGACCAACCAGGCTGTGGTGGGTATGTGGGCCTGCGGGCCGCTCGAAGCAACAGCCAGGTGGACCAAACTCTCACAAGTCAAGCCTGGCCTCGGGCCGGGCTGGGGGAGTAGAACTACTCCCAGAACCTCATACAGGTACAATCCAGGCAAACACTTAGCAAAACTCTTCCTCAAAATCATATAAAATATTTAGAAAGAATCTCATTATATTAAAAAAAAGGAACTTGCACAAAAGTCTTAGCTATATACAAGGCTGAGGTTGAAAACTCTGTTTATTAAGATTTTAAAAGTATTTGTCTTTAATAATTTAGGGTCTAGGCTTAAATATTATAACTTCAGTCTAGTGAATGTTGGCTAATGATAAACGAAGTGAATTCATACTCATTATTACTCATATCACTCATTAATGATTCACGAAATGCTGTTTTTGATATATTTACCATTTCATTAGCAAATTTCAATTTGAAATATTTTGAATCCAGGTAAACAGCGGCCTTTTCTAACATGTGAACCATCTCTGCAAAATTTGATAACAATCATCTACATATGAGGGGCCTGACGGCTGAGTGGACAGCGCTCGGGGTTCGTAGACCTAAGGTTCCAGGTTCGATCCCCGGTGGAGGCGGAAACAAATGGGCTGAATTTCTTTCACCGTGTTGCCCCTCTTCACCTAGCAGTAAATAGGTACCTGGGAGTCAGCCAACTGCTACGGGCTGCTTCCTGCGGGTAACAAAAAGGAGGCCTGGTCGAGGACCGGGCCGCGGGGACGCTAAGCCCCGAAATCATCTCAAGATAACCTCAAGATATGTCAGTGATAACAAGTTTGCATGTCAGAGAACCAGAAATCAATCAAAAGTATCTGAAATTTGCAAAGAAATACGTTAGCACAAGATAGGCAAAGACCACGCCCCATTTATCTATAAGCAGAATTTACCATTAAAACAAAAGTGAGATTGCAATATGCAACAATTATCAATTTACTAATCAGGCCAAAATTACAAGTACCTGCTTAAGCTTGACCATTTACAATATGTTGTGATATATTGTAAATGATATAAAATGATTATATATATATATATATATATATATATATATATATATATATATATATATATATATATATATATATATATATATATATATCTGATGTGTGATATATAACTGAGACGTTTGAAGGCATGGGTTCGACACCCACACTACCCATAACTCTTAACCTTTAAAGCACCAATTTTTATAACAAAATGTGACGAATTGTCAACATTATATTTAGTAACAAGGGTAGCAAGTAGCGCCAAAAATAGTGCCAATTTATAAACTAAAGTGCCATTGGAAGAAATTATTGGTCTTAATTGGAAAAAAAAATTAGTGGATCTGAGGAAGTTCATATAGCCTTAAGAATCTCTCTCTAATTGATCTTCAAATTTCAAGACAAGTGAAGACTTATCCACAGTTAGTAATCTAAATTTAGCAAGATTCAATAATATGTTATCAAGCTTTTTACACTGATTAGTTTGATTAGGAAACACTGTACCCTTATCTGGTCTAGTTATTGTCAAAATACTATCTTCAATTTTTTTTAGTGCACATATTTACAGAATTATAAAAAAAATCATTTTATACTATTATACAAGCATTCTTATGAGACCTTCTTGCTCAAGATATTCTTCTTAATCAAGTTATTCTTCTTAATCAAGTTATCACAAGTCAAGCAGGGGTTAAGGAGCAATAGTAGTCCTGGAATATATTCCAAGTAGGCTCCAGATACCCTCCTAACACCATCTATCATCATCTTACCTCATCTAACACCATCTATCATCATCTAAAACCTATATTAACCTTCCACACTATCTACTCCTCTCTCTAATACCCTTAATACATCATTTTCCTCATCAAACTCATCCTAATGGCACCGTAACACCTGTGAACAAAATCTAACACTTGCTGTTAGAGAGACGGGTGTTAGGAACTGAGGCAAAGAAAGGAAAAAGTTGCCCAGGCACCTTTTGAAACCCTCTCTCGCCCACCTTTAATGCCACTTAATATCGCACTTAAATGAAAAAAAGTGGTTTCTTTTCGAGTCAAAACCACTAAATGAAAGTCTTAGTGGTTTTGACTCGAACCTCTAACAGCTCTTTGCTCCACGTTCTAACCAGTGACGGTGAACGTCAGAGCGGTCGCTAGAAAGCACCTCCCACCGGCAGGAGTCGAACCTGCGATCGACAGGGGAACAAGAGTTAGCGAACTCAGCCGCCTGCGATCTCCTACAGGGAACAAGAGTTAGCGAACTCAGCCGCCTGCGATCTCCTACAGGGAACAAGAGTTAGCAAACTCAGCGCCAAAGGGAAGAAGAGCTAGCGAACTCAGCGCCACCAATCCAGCCTACAAAGTCTTCTATGCTGGTGTGTTGGGGTCACCTTCTCGCCGGAGTCCGAGGGCAGGTAGAACACCAGGACCGTCAGGAAGGAGATACCAACGCAAGGGATGATCAGGTTCACCGTGTAGAAGAGGGTCTTCCGCCGCATCGTCAGGTTGAAGGTGATGTCTGTGGAGAGTAAGGAGGTGTTAGTGGACCTCTTCTGATACCTATTGGGGAGCAGGAGCTGCTACCTACTGGTGAGAAGGGACTGCTGCCTACAGGGGAGCAGAAGGGACTGCTACCAGCAGGGAAGCAGAAGGAACTGCTACTTACAGGAAACTTACTAATGTGTGTCCATTTGAGCTTTGAGAAAAACCATTTCTTATCCCCTTACTAACAGAACAAGCAATCAGGTTTCTCCTCTGCATTTGTTACTCCCTTAAACCTTAATTGATCCTCCCTTAAACCTTAATTGATCCTCCCTTAAACCTTAATTGATCCTCCCTTAAACCTTAATTGACACTCCCTTAAACCAAGACCAAATACAGACAGGCAATATAAAGGATAAAAACTAGCGAGGGGGGAGAAAAGTTTTCCTTGTAAAGAGAAGTTTGAGAGGTGAAGTTAAGTGCTTTAAACATGTAATTCAGGTCAGGGAAGGTTAGCGGAGACCGGTAACCATGTTGACATTCTTGAAAACTTTTCTTGCGCGTGAAATTGCGCCTCGCCCACCCCCCCTCCCCCCGACCAGGGGGTCCCTGATGCCCCCCGAGGGCATGCCTGGCCAAGACAGCCTGCCTCCTCCCTCTCTCTCTCTCTCTGGTTCAGTACTAAGCAAGCTACGAGGCTAGAATTATGATCTTTTTTTCTGACATTGCTAGACAGTAAGGGAACCAGAGGAGATATGACCACAACATGTACGATGCTCAACGATATCGTTAAGGCATAGCATGTGGCACCGTGTGTCTTGGAAATGTGTACAAAAACACTACGAACAGCGGTGTGTGACGGTAGGGGTGAGTAAGACGGAGGGCGACGAACCCAATGGTTGGGGATAGTCTTGGTGGATCCTAAGAGTTCAGACAACCTGCAGTTGGGACCAGATGTTTGGACGAGCAGCTTTGATGACTTGGGTTCAACTCCTTGGGAGGAAAATGAGAGATTTGGAGACAGATTGTGAGGAAGATTGTGAGAAGTCCTCAACCAACAGGGAGTCTTGTGTATTTCACTTTTTAGGAATGAGTAGTCAGAATTATTTTGTAAAAAAAATGTAGCAGACCAGTTCCGGAGATCACTCAGAGAGTAGTTCTAACACACTGTAGGAGAGAGCTGCTTCCTTGTGGAGGAAGCTGGGAAATTTCTCCTCCATTTCAGAGGCGATGGTGCCATCTCCCACCCAGCATAGCCTGATAGATCACCATAATCTGCTGAGTGATGACTGTATTTATCCCTCAAGTGCTAACACTTGAGACTAGCATGATCAAGACCTCGTATTGCAGTGAATGTCGAAGAACTTGAGGAACCAAGATTTTCCCGACTGGAGAGAAGGAAATGTGAACAAAATACAGAATATACAACACCCATTATACTAGAAATTGAAGAGTATTTTGGTTGACAGTTATGATGTACAAGATTCTCATTGTAGACATTGTAGACAATGAGAGCTTCTGCCTCTCACAGCAACATAACGTGAAGTTTACAGATGCAAAATCAGGAGATTTTGACTTCGTCATCTCCTGATGAGATCATCATCAGGAGACAACAGCAGCATGAGAAGACAGTGTATCGAGTCTGCAGACATCTGACACAGCACCGTCACCAGACACAACAACACAATTGATCAGAAAATCCACCAGGGCTGTGAGGTGGGTGCAAACCTTCCACCAAGGCACTGCCCGCTGCATACTCTACCACTTGACCACCGTGGCTTGTAAAAAAAAAAGTCATACAACAAGATTTCTACTGAAATCCTAGTTGATTTTCCCATTGATATACATGTTAGTAGGATTACTGTGTATACACAAGTGGTTGACAAAGATTAAGTCACCCAGGAGATGGCACGGGCATGAGTAGCCCGAAATACAACACAATTGATATTAGGGTCTATAAAGTGGGAGAGGTCCTATGAAAGACTGAGGTTCTGTGATGGGGTGAGGTCCTATAAAGTGTGCATGGTCCTATGAAGTCAGTATGGCGCTATTAAGTTAGCGTGGTTTCGTAAAGGCAAAGAAGTCCTATATGGAAAGTTAGGTAATATAAATTAGATAAAGTTCTAAGAACAGGATTTGTAGTTCTCAACGCCCAAAAAATTATTTCGCGAGTCACTGAAATATTCTTTATCCGACTCTGTGATAGGCAAACTTATGCAGATTAGTTTATGTGTGGTAATCTTATGTACTCCTGGCCTAATATATTGATGAACTGAACACAATCTGTGTAAGCAGGCGATGAGTCACAATAACGTGGCTGAAGTATGTTGACCAGACCACACACTAGAAATTGAAGGGACGACGACGTTTCGGTCCGTCCTGGACCATTCTCAAGTCGATTGTGATCGACTTGAGAATGGACCGTCCTGGACCATTCTCACAATCAACTTGAGAATGGTCCAGGACGGACCGAAACGTCGTCGTCCCTTCAATTTCTAGTGTGTGGTCTGGTCAACAATCTGTGTAAATTGTAAAATATTCCTATTAGACTGGCACTACAGAGTGGGCTTCGCGCCAGTGGAGCTCTAATAGACTGGAGCCAGATTCATGAAGCAGTTACGCAAGCACTTACGAACCTGGGGGCCAGATTCACGAAGCAGTTACGCAAGCACTTACGAACCTGGGGGCCAGATTCACGAAGCAGTTACGCAAGCACTTACGAACCTGTACATCTTTTCTCAATCTTTGGCGGCTTTGTTTACAATTATTAAAGAGTTAATGAGCTCCGAAGCACCAGGAGGCTGTTTATAACAATAACAACAGTTGATTGGCAAGTTTTCTTGCTTGTAAACTGCTTAATAAATGTAATCAAAGCCATCAAAGATTGAGGAAAGATGTACACGTTCGTAAGTACTTGCGTAACTGCTTCGTGAATCTGGCCCCAGGTTCGTAAGTACTTGCGTAACTGCTTCGTGAATCTGGCCCCAGGTTCGTAAGTACTTGCGTAACTGCTTCGTGAATCTGGCCCCAGGTTCGTAAGTACTTGCGTAACTGCTTCGTGAATCTGGCCCCAGGTTCGTAAGTACTTGCGTAACTGCTTCGTGAATCTGGCCCTAGGTTCGTAAGTACTTGCATAACTGCTTCGTGAATCTGGCCCCTGAACCACAGTCCTCTAAAGCATCAGAGAAACTCTCCTAAACAGGACCAGACAATGCTCTAAGGCACCAATGGTGCTCTCATACACAGAGCATTACCTGGGTAGGGCTCGGGAAGCCCTGGAAAATACTCCTGATTCCTCCGGGCGGGGACCTCCAGAATATCCCATTCCACAGACATGTAGAACTCCCTGAGATCGATGCCGATCTGCACAATGTTGCTGCCCTTGATCTGCTTGCTGTGTTTCAGGTCCACCTGTAACACAAGGGTTGTGTCAGTCCAACTCAAAGGAATAACTTTACCCACCTCGATCTGTGCTCGAGGAATGATGATTAATATGTTACATTTATAAACAAATTGACTGGAAAACGCTCAAAATATGTTTGATAAGTGGGTTGTGATCGCTACACCTAGCAGTTGTGTGTGAGTGAGGTGTTTACATATGGGGGATGGTGTTGTGTCATGCTCCACAGCAAGGCTCGTGGATAAGTCTTTCCCTCATAAATCATTGAACTTTCTGGCCTTCAAGTGAATAAATATCTAAGGGTGAGTGAAAGTAAAATCCACCAGTTTACTGGGACGAACTTATCTACATGACACAGCTTTATATACATCATTATTTATATACATATCCACAACTAAGTGACAATTAAGTCAAGGTACAATTCAAGCAGCTAGATGTCACTAAGTACAGATCACCTAATAACTTTGGTACATTAGACAGCTTAAGAATGGCTGTTAAGTTGTGAACAAGGTGGGAGGTGTCGTTACATAGCCAGAGTGGGGATAATGTCTCAGCATGAACATTAACAAATACATGTCATTGAAGTATCACTTTGCCTTTAGAAAAACTAATTCCCAACTGGACTAACAAAAGTCTATAAAACTCTCCTAGAAAGCCAGAGTCCACAAAGACTGACAATGACAAAGTCTGAAACTCATCAGATTACGTTAGTCTACACTGAAAGATAAATTTCAAATTCAATGACTCGTCTTCAAAATTAAGAGTTCACAATGTCTCAGAAATCTGGCAGAGTCAGGACTCGCCTCTCAAAAGTTAAATACACAAACTCTGAAATTTGGTTGAGAGTCCTGAACCTCCTCTCCAGAGTTAGAGTCCACACTGGCGCCAGAAAATGCCAATGTCCCCAAATGTTCAAATATAAGTCACCAAACCCAAAGATTACATACATACGAATCCAGTGACAACACTACAGAAATAAGATGCACAAAAATAATCCACTTCTTACATAATGGGCAAGAAGTTCAAAAGATATATATATGCAAATATCTCTGAAAGAATATACTCAAGATATACTGAATATACTGTCAGTCACACTGACAACTGCTGGCTGACACCACCAGTACACTCAGAGTACCATCACTCTACATAATATAACCCAACACAGCATACAGGAAACAAACAGAAAAATACTCTGACGTATATGTATGTATATACACCTTGGGAACATACGCAGATGTTCAACTACACAAAATTAGCATCACATATGTATATAGAACAAACACGAAGCTTAGCAACCACACCAGTGTTGGCTGTACTCACACACACACACATACAGACACTTAAAAGTATGACCCAAGCGTACCCAGTCTGAACTGGTTGGGCTAGGTTATAAGAGATGGGCTAGTAGTAGCTGATTGATAGACAACTTGACGATGAGAAACACAAGAAGCCGTTGAGATTGACCCATTAGTCTCCACGCGGCTCCAAGCGGCTCCAAGCGGCTTCAGGCAAGATGGATCACTCGAAAACTAAATTATCCAGAGAATATAGTCTTGTGTTCCCCCCTTTTCTTATCATAGATAAGAAGTGTATTTGCTCTCTCTCTCTCTCTCTCTCTCTCTCTCTCTCTCTCATCTATAAGCCTTCATCTCCCTCTTCATCTCCTTCCCAAACTCCAACTTTCCCTCCCTCTCTTCCCCTCACTGCTCCTCTCCCCTACCTCCCTTCCTCCCTCATTCTTCCACCGAACGATAACCTCGTCATATCAAGACCTTGACTGATTCACCCATTCTTCTCCATCTTGATCAAGGCTCCGTGTAGATGGGGGCTGGGAGCACACGGATCTCTTACCTCTCGAGTGAGAGAATATCAGAGGAGAGGAGGAGGATGGACAGTAATACGATTGAGAGGAAAGGGAAGGAGAAATGAAGGAGGGGGGTAGAAGAAGGAAGAGGAAGAGGAGGAAAGTAGATAGAGAGCAGAGAAGATTAAGAGAGGATGGAAGAGGAAGAAATAATATAGAAAACGGATGAATTAATTTCTAGAGAAAGGAGGGAGGTAGAGTAGGATGGAAAAGGGGGTAAAGTAATTGGCAGGGAAATGAGAGCAAAAGATAAGAGGACAGGAATAGGCGACGAACAAAAGGAACTGAATGAAGGGAGATAGGAAACTAAAGACAGTAGCAAAATGGGGAGATGGGAAGCAAAGGTGAGAGATAGCAAGATGGAAAGTAATTTGAGGAAGATAAGGAGTGAAGGAGAGAATGGTGGAGAGAGGGAGGGGATGGAGGGAGGGGTGAAGAGAGGGAGGAATGAAGGGAGGGAGAAATAAAGGATGTAAAGACAATGAGGTAAAAGTCTTTAGCAGTGGAATTCAATTAGACAAGGAGGTGTTTGGTAAATCCCCTCCCTCCCTCCCTCCATCTCTCCTTCCCTCCCTCTTTCCTTCCCTCCCTCTTTCCCTCCCTCCCTCCCATTCTTCCATCCCTTCCATTTTTGCCCCCCTTTATTCCTTGTACCTCCAGAAAATTTCACCCCTTCCACATGTGTATTTAACCCAAAATTCCACCTTATGTATTCATTCTTTACCTGAAAATGGTCCAGAGAAAACCAAACGTGGAAAATAAATCCTTCAATAATTTCTAGTTTCTTTACCATTAATTTTAGTAACTTGATTGTTCATCTTAATACTGACACTTGAAAGGGGTCAGGATAAGGATTTGGGATGGACGGAGGGAAAGGAATGGTGCCCCAGCCACTTGTGGACGGGCGGGGATTGAACGCCGACCTGCAGGATGAGTGACCCCTAGTTTATAAAGCCACGAGTGACTCAGGATTCAAGTCAGTGCATGAAGGCTCTCTTAAAGACACTTTCAGACGCAATACCTAACATTACCATAGACAAAAGATGTGTTACTGATCCAGATTTAATAAGGTTAATAAATTAACCAAAGGGAAGAAACATTCGCCTTCCAAGAGTGGAGGAAAAAACAAAAGAGACTAAACTCCAGATAAAGTTAATTAAATTAGACAAGTTGAAGAGTCTTTGCCCATGTGGGTAGTGGGAGACACCTACTCTCTCTCTCTCTCTCTCTCTCTCTCTCTCTCTCTCTCTCTCTCTCTCTCTCTCTCTCTCTCTCATGGCTTCACTTGTTCCATTTTTTTACTCTTGGTTTTCTATACTACGTCCTTATTTCTAGTCTTCTGCATTCCTCTTTCGTCACCTCCTTTACCAAGCTCAGTAATGGTGCGGATTTCTAATTTCCTATTTTTGTAACGCACGATAAACAAAATGCATAAAGGCGAAAGTTGAAGCTGAATTCTGGGCATGCTATTTGCCCCGAAGAAACCTCGACGTTTCTAACGAATACTATTATATATATATATATATATATATATATATATATATATATATATATATATATGAATGAAAACTCAACCCCGAAGTGACTCGAACCCATACTTTCTACAGGGCGCCTTAATCCGCTTGACCATCACGGCCGTCAAAAGGAAGTGATAGCCGAGGCTATTGAGCCACTTCCCCGACGGCAACTCGGATGGTATGGGCATAGCATTTCACCAAATCACCTCATTCTTTGGGGCACACGTGAGGAACACAAATGCGAACAAGCCTGAATGGTCCCCAGGACTATATGCGAATGAAAACTCACACCCCAGAAGTGACTCGAACCCATACTCCCAGAAGCAACGCAACTGGTAACTACAGGGCGCCTTAATCCGCTTGACCATCACGGCCGTCAAAAGGAAGTGATAGCCGAGGCTATTTGAGCCACTTCCCCGACGGCAACTCGGATGGTAATCTTGGGCATAGCATTTCACCAAATCACCTCATTCTTTGGGGCACACGTGAGGAACACAAATGCGAACAAGCCTGAATGGTCCCCAGGACTATATGCGAATGAAAACTCACACCCCAGAAGTGACTCGAACCCATACTCCCAGAAGCAACGCAACTGGTAACTACAGGGCGCCTTAATCCGCTTGACCATCACGGCCGTCAAAAGGAAGTGATAGCCGAGGCTATTTGAGCCACTTCCCCGGAAGTGGCTCAAATAGCCTCGGCTATCACTTCCTTTTGACGGCCGTGATGGTCAAGCGGATTAAGGCGCCCTGTAGTTACCAGTTGCGTTGCTTCTGGGAGTATGGGTTCGAGTCACTTCTGGGGTGTGAGTTTTCATTCGCATATAGTCCTGGGGACCATTCAGGCTTGTTCGCATTTGTGTTCCTCACGTGTGCCCCAAAGAATGAGGTGATTTGGTGAAATGCTATGCCCAAGATTACCATCCGAGTTGCCGTCGGGGAAGTGGCTCAAATAGCCTCGGCTATCACTTCCTTTTGACGGCCGTGATGGTCAAGCGGATTAAGGCGCCCTGTAGTTACCAGTTGCGTTGCTTCTGGGAGTATGGGTTCGAGTCACTTCTGGGGTGTGAGTTTTCATTCGCATATAGTCCTGGGGACCATTCAGGCTTGTTCGCATTTGTGTTCCTCACGTGTGCCCCAAAGAATGAGGTGATTTGGTGAAATGCTATGCCCAAGATTACCATCCGAGTTGCCGTCGGGGAAGTGGCTCAAATAGCCTCGGCTATCACTTCCTTTTGACGGCCGTGATGGTCAAGCGGATTAAGGCGCCCTGTAGTTACCAGTTGCGTTGCTTCTGGGAGTATGGGTTCGAGTCACTTCTGGGGTGTGAGTTTTCATTCGCATATAGTCCTGGGGACCATTCAGGCTTGTTCGCATTTGTGTTCCTCACGTGTGCCCCAATATATATATATATATATATATATATATATATATATATATATATATATATATATATATATATATATATATATATTTCTTGTCGATTACCTCTTTAAAAAATAATTAAGAAAATGCCCTTTAGAAACATGATAATTGGATTATGGAGTGTGTTGACCTCTTAGGATGAAAATACCACATAAAACTGGTGAATAGAGTGCATCACTATAAACCTTTATAGTATCACTATAAAG